CTCTATTCATTAAGAGAATGTAACTATGTATCTATCCTTACCACTCTGAATACACAGATACAAAATGGACATTCATCTGTATACCCTTTTTTTGTTAAGTTCCATTATTTGAATATTATAGGTGTGTAAACTTAGCAAAATATTCTAAAAGTTCAGTAGCCCATAATAGTATTGGGTCTTCCACTTGACTGGCAATGTCGGAAATCAACATCACAGCATGGCTTTACTTCTTATATTTCGTTTTTATACTTTTCTGCTGCATGGCTAAGACCAAGGTAAAACAGGACCTATGCAACAAGAGTTGTAACTTTTGGATCTGATAAGGTCAGTGAAATCCCCTCAGGAATTATCTTGAGATCCTGTACCTCAGATTGTAGAACCTTTGTCTGTGTCAGCCATGTAGATGAGTCACAGCCATTGCTTGACCAATATGTTCTCTGTGAAAGCCTGAAAGAATGTTTTCTCTCCATGTGACTCTCCTTAGGCACACTCTACATCATCGATCACTTTCCTGTTTGGCCCCATAATCTCCGGTATCAGAAAATTTGGGACACTACTGAGTTACATGTCATTACAGTACAAGTTCTCATATGTCCTGAGTCTTAATTGACCTTGGAAGAAGCCCAGGTTATTTCTTTTAAAGCTGTATTTTAACATTTCCATTAACTGTTTTAGATTCTTAAAAGATGTATCATGAAGACTGGGGATATAGCTCAGTTCTTAGCATGTACAAAATCCTAGGTTCAAACTCCAGTGCCAAAATAAATCATACATACATACATATGTACATATATGCATCCAAACAACTTCATGAAAGACAAAGGCTGGAGAACTGAGAATAAGGCAGACACATAACTAGATGGAATCTGTAATCCTTGATTATTCTGGATTGGAGTAAAGAACAGCTATATTAGAATAGTTTGGGAAATCTGAACTTAGATTTATTAGAGATTAGTTCACTTTGAATATCCCTTACCTGAAATGCTTGAAACCAGAAGTATATTATTTCTGATTTCAGATTTTTTTATTTGGGGATATTTCTATAGACTATTTATTGAATATTTCTAATTGAAAATCTGAAACCTTTAAAATATGTTGGTACATAGAGTCTGAAAGTTGGAAGCATTTCAGATTTCAGGTTTTTGGTTTAGGGATCGTAAGTCTATATTGTCTTCAGTGTTTTATAATGTGTACGTGTGGTGAAGTACTTAATGATGAAGTATTAAAACACTTGGATTAATTAGATAACAGTATAAGTTAAACATCCCTGCAAATAATTTGATTTTAAGTTATGTCAGCTAAAACTTTTAGCCAAAGTATGTTAAATAGATAAATGTATTGCTATAGATAGGCGTATAGCTATTGATGTGTAGATACAGATATACAGATCAAGAGAGAGAGGAATGGAAGGGGTATAGAAAAGTGAAGGAAAGGAGAGAAGAGTCAGAATGAAGCAAATATGACAAAAATATTAAAAGTAGAGTAAGGGGTAAATGAGTTATTATACTCTAACTTTATATATTTGAAATTTCTAAAATAACATGTCATAAATTTTACATTTTAGAAAATCAAAATTGTAGGAATGAAGGTACATGTATACTGCTGATTACTGACTTTTATGACCTTAACCCATTGCCAGCTATAAGTAATCACTTATTCAATAAGCTTATATACTTATATATATTGGTATCTTACCCTTCCCATGGCTTGGTCAGAGAATTTGGGTCTAGGGGCCAGAAGTAGTTCATTAGCATAAGCGCTTGCCTGGCAAGCGCAAGGGCCTATGTTCAATCCCTGGTTCCACCAAAAAAAAAAAAAAAAGAAAAAGAAAAAAGAATTTGAGTCTAAATTTTGTAACAGACAAGAACTAATTTCATTCAACCCTGGACCATAACTAGTTTTTCCAGAGCTTTAGTGGAATTGAACCTAGAGGTTCTTTGCCTTTTACATCTGTTAGGCTTAAAGGAGGAAGCAAAGTCTCTGAAATGAAATTATGCTTAAATGAAATGTTTAAACTTTTATTTGTTATGTAGAATGATACTTATAGATACTATGGAAAAAGGAAATTGATTATAAAAATTGCTTTCAAAACATTGTAAATTACTAAAAGATTTAATTTAATTTAACTTAATTTAATCTAATTACGCAATAACCAGGCTTCCTTTTCTGTTGGCTATATGGGTCAAGTGCTTGGATTGTTGAGCACTATGAACCAAATCCTGAGGAATAAATTGTTCAGGTTGCTGCAATTGTGGAACATTGTGCTCTGGAGCTCTCTTCTCAAAACATCTTTTACCTTTGCAATTTTGAGGCCATAAAGAGTAAAAATCCTCAGGGCCAGGGAGATGGCTCAGTGGAATAAGCGCTTCCCTGGCAAGCACAAGATCCTGAGTTCAATCCCTGGTTTCACAAAAAGAAAAAAAAGAGTAAATATCCTGGTGGTTTTTGTGATTCCTTTGGGCCGTCTTTCCAATTCATGTATGTACCTGAACATATGGGCAAGCATGGATCCTTCTTTGTGAAATATGTAGCTGATTTTCTGCATTGAAAAATCAACATATTGTAATTTTTAAAGGTGAAACTGACACTTGAAAATGCATATGCTGTGAAAAAGGAAAAAACCCAGCCAAGAAAGAAAAAGGCACAGCTGAACACAAATGATTTAGTCAAACTTTTATGGGAAGCAGAGGGTGAAGACAGCCTTCAGAATACCCTCAACACTCCCCATATCATCATGTATCTCTCACTACAGCTCAGCTCAGAAACATCAAAGGAAGAGGTGAGTATCTTCTCAAAAGTGCAAAGGAAAAAATACTTTCTGTAGCTCACCCAGTATACAGTAAACACTTTATTTAAGGAAAAAATAAAAATGTATTAATGATGTTTAAAATTGTCTTTGTGTTTTATATTCTATTATAGGTATGAATGTTTCATGTTACACATGTTTTTAAAATAAAACTAAATGAACTATTCAGTTATTTTAAACAAAAAAAAAGGTGAAGTAGGAAAAGATATTGCTGCATAATCTTTTAATCTAGCAGCTAAGATCTGTTACTGTCTTTTTTTAGCTATAATTTTTAGTGAAGTGCTAGGTATAATAAAGTTTTAAGTGCACAATTTGATGAGTTTTGATAGATATACAGAGTTGTGTAGGCAGCATCACAGTCATGAGATTAAACATTTTCATCACTCCCCAAAAGTTTCTTTATGGCCTTTGCATTCAATCCTTTCCTGCTACCCTTTACTGAAAGAAGAAGATAGTGTCTTAGTACTAACTCTCTTACCATACATTATAAGTAGTTTTTATATATGTCCTGACCCGCGGGTTAGTCAACGAGGACCCTAGAGGGGGAGTAGGGATGAGAAGGGACAGGAGACAAAGAATAGAGACAAGACAGGATTCTGATCAAGTCTCGTTTATTCAGGGGAGGTGCTGGATATATAAAGGGAGTGTAGGAATAAGGAAGTCTCAGCTCTTGACATCAGCAGGTATCTAGGCAGCGGAGGAAGGTCCCACCCCTGGGGCATAGCACGTGACTCACGGGGAATGGGCAAGGTGGGAAGGAGCAGAAACTTAACTCAGCAAAGGGATAGAAACTTAAGAAAATAGCTGACACTATTATAAAATGGATACCAGTTAGCAGCTTCCCACATATATATTCTAATTCATTCATTTCTTGATGTTTATTGAACACCTATTTATTCTTGGCCTTGCACTTGCCAGGCAGGCACTTAGACCACTGAGCTATCTCCCCAGCCTGGTATCCTCTTGTCTTTCATCAATATTTCATACTTTTCATTGTAAAGTACTTACTTCCTGATTAAATTCATTACTGGACATTTTATTTTTCTAGAGCTACTATAAATAGGATTGTTTTGTTTCTTACAGTGTGCAGTACATAATAATCATATTCATTGTGGGGAGTTGTTATGTATACATAGCACATCTAATTCTTTTTTTCATTCCCTTCCCTTCATACTTCCTCCACTGGTCCCCTTCCCATCTGCAAAAGATCTGTCTCCCTATTTCCTATTATCTGTCTTTATATTTTGCTTTTTATTTGTATTTTGGTTTTCTTATATAAGAGAAACTGTATAATATTTAAGCTTGTGTGTCTGACTTACTTCACTTAACATTATGGTCCCCAGTTAGATCCATTTTCCTAAAAATGACTCAAATATATCCTTACTTATAGCAGAGTAGTACTCTGCTGTGTGCAAATACAACATTTTCTTTATCCATCTGTTGATGGGCATATAAGCCATTCACAAAATTTAGCTATAATAAATTATGCTGCTATAAATGTGAATATGCACATATCATTGCAACATGATGTCTATATCTCTTGCAGGAAAATACTTAGGGAGCTGTGTCAAATGGAATTTCTATTGTTCTTTTTCCAAGGAATTTCCAAAATGGTTGTACTAGTTTACATTACAACTAACAACACACAAGGGTTCCTTTTTCCCCCTTAGCTTTGGTAGCATTTGATATTATTTGATTCCTTAATTATATGCTTTTTGGAATGAGATGGAATCTCAGTGTTGTTTTAATTTGCATTTCTTTAATGACCACAGATGAACATTTCTTCTCGTATTTATTGGCCATTTGTACTTCTGAGAAGTTTCTGTTCCTTTGAGATCATGACTTTTATTCAGTCTTTTATTTGTGGGATCCAATTTTTTTGAGTTCTTTGTATATTCTAGTTCCTTGTATATCCTGCGTCTGAGCGACAACTGTCAAAAAATTGTTTGCCATTCCATAGGTTGTCTCTTCATTCTGTTGATTGTTTTCTTTGCTGTGCAGAAGCTTTTTAATTTGACATGATCCCATTTGTCAATTCTTTTTTTTTAAGAAAGTGAAAAACAATTTTTAAAAACATTAGAAATGATGCAGAATTTTACAAAACAAGATGTTCCCAGCAGCTTAAGAGGCAGAACTGGGAAGAAGAGGGGAAGCTATTAATTAGGGAAGCTGTTGGGGAGACTATAGAGAGCTGTTGGTTCTGCTGGAGGACCCTATCATGCTGACTTTCCTGATGAATGTGACTGTTCTCATTGCTGAAGGAGCTAGGGACTTCACTGTCAATGTGAATGGCCATGTTTCACTCTGGGTGTGCTCTGGTCCTCATTTTGAGCATTGCTTCCTAGCTCTGGAGGGAGAGATGTTCAGTCTCCTAGAGAAGCTTGTTCGCTTTTCCTGAAGTTAGCTTTCATTATTGACATAGGAACTCGGGACCTCACTGTTGCTGAGGATAGCTGTGGTACTTTTCCAGGGAGCTGTGGTTCTTTGAGCATTGCTTTCTGGCTCCAGTGCGATCCCTCATCCCATTAGCACAGATCCTTCATCCCACTAGTACAGACTTTCTAGCTTTCACCACTGACCTTTGAGCCTTCCCAGCACAGAACCATAAAACACAGGCCCTACATGAGACACTGTCATGGGCTCTCGGCCTCAGTTGGATTTGTGGGAAGTACTGTCATGAGCTCTAGTTCAACTCATGCAGAACATTATCATAGGAGCCAGGCCTTCAGCTGGATTCTGCGGTCTTTAGTGTTTAGAGAGATTTCTTGCACTCGATTCTTTGGGTGACCCACTATAAAATAATCTTACAATTAAGTGTCCTGTGTTGTACTGTTCCCCTTGCAAAACCCCAAACTTAGCACATGTTATGTTAAGTATACAAATTATAAAATATATAAATTATATATTATAAAATATATATTTTGTACATTTAATACAGATAAACCTTAAGTGTACAAATATTTTTTTTAGTAACTACCCTTACATTTCAGACTGTTTCTCTTTGATCAGTTTTTTGTTGTTGTTGTTAAAAACTAGTTATTTTACACATTGCTTTTTGTGAAAGTCTCTTGGGAAATAAATTCTTTTTGTTGTTATTTATTTGATAATGTCTTTTTTAAAACCCCCTTTTGAAAGTACCTTCACAATTCTAAATGATATGAATCAGGGTAGATTGTATTAATCACTACAGGTTAATCACTATCCCAAACAATCTTAACATCTCATGAACTTATCATGATGAAATTTACGTCATGTTTTGATCCTGTGACCAAGAGCCAGTGCTCTTGGCTCAGTGACCCTACCCCATTATATAATGACCTCATTATTTCCCAAGATTTCAAAATCCTTTGTTGGCTCCTTTGCATCTGTCTGACCAATGAGAAGAGAAAGAAAGTATCCAGTATCACGTGAGACATTTTAGAGTCCCAGCTAAAAAGTAGGATCATCACTTCTGCCCATGTTCCATTGGTTAGACTAACTACAAGGTCTCTCCAAGGAAGTGAAATATGTAGTCTTCCTGTGTGGCCAGGAAGAAGATGAGGTATAAACACCTTATGCGCTTAAGCTACTTAGGCAGAGAATTATTTTCTTTAATCTAAAAATGGTATCCTTCCCAAAACTGTTATACAGCTTTAATGCAGTAATATAGTCCCAGTCAAAATACCATTAGCATACCTCACAGACTAGAAAATAATTTCCTAAAATCCATCTGAAACCAGAAAAGACCTAGATAGCAAAAGCAATTCTAGGCAACAAAGACAAGTCAGGGAACATCACATTCCCTGACCTGAAATTACACTACAAAGCTACTGTGATAAAATTATTGTGGAATTGGGAAAAGAAAAACAGATCTGAGGATCAGTGGAACAGAATGGCAGTTGCAGATGAAACTCTCCAAACATACTCAGTTATCTTATTTTTGACAAAGGAGCCAAACGCATTCCCTGGAAGATAGTCTCTTTAATAAATAGTAGTGGAAAAACTGCCTTTACATGGCAAAGACTAGACCATGCGCTAAGCTAAAGTCCAAATGGATCAAAGATCTAGATGTTAAAACAGAAACACTAAATTTACTGGAAGAAAAAAAAGTAGGCTCACATTTTGAGACACAGAGTTGGTAGAGACTTCATGAACAAACCACATGGGAAATACTACAAAAAATCAGCCAATGGAATCTCACTTTATTTTTAAAAGCTTTTGAACAAGAGAAATCAAAGACGTAGTAAAAGGACAACACACTGAGTAGGAAAAAACTGTAGTCAGCTGACCCTCAGACAAGACTTCTATGTAGAAGCTAGGGATATAGCTCAGTGGTCTAAGCGCCTGCCTGACAAGCGCAAGGACCTAGGTTTGATAACCACATGCTATGCCGGTCCTGTGACGTGCCAGCCACCAAACTTGGGAATAGTGGCGCACACCTGTAATCCCAGCACTGAGGAGCCTGAGAGAAGGGGATCACTGTGAGTCCAAGCTGTGCAGCAAAACCCTGTACTAAATCAATCAATCGATCTTTGGAAAAAAAAAAAAAAAAAAAAAAAAAAGGATATCTAGAAGAACTGAAAAAAAATCAGACCCTCCCAAATTCAAAGTCCCAAACCAAAAATTGGCATCTAAAATGAATACACATTCAGACATGTACAAATACAAATGGCAAATAAGTACATGAAAAAATGTTCAACATTACTGGTCATCTGAGAGATGCAAATTAAACCAACACTGAAAATCCATCTCACTCCAGAACAAATGGCTATCATCAAGAAATTAACCAATAATAAATGCTGGTGGGGTTATGAGGAAAAAGGAACCCTTCTCCACTGTTGTTGACAGTGTAGACTGGTACAACCACTTGGAAATCAGTGTAGAGATTCCTCACAAAACTAGAATTAGAGGCCCATCAATCTAGCTATTCCCCTTCTGGGTATTTTCCAGAAGAATTGAAAACATACCACAGTGATATATGTGCACTCGTCTTTTAGCAGCACAATTGGTAACAGCTATATCTTGGCAACAACCGAAATGGCCATCAACCAGGGAATGGATAAAAAAGATGTGATTTTTTAATATACTCATCTAGATAGAAGGATAAAATGGAGACTTTTATATGTAAATAGATGCAACTCCAGACTATACTCATAAGTGAAATAAATCAGACCCATGTGTAACTATCATATTGTCTCACTAGTGTGAGAAACTGAATGAGTCAATAAGATCCAAAATGTATAATGGATAATGGAAATAGAAAAGAAACTGTTCAAAAGAACTGTGATGGGAGAATGGGGAAAGGAAGGGAAAAGGAAAAAATTACATTATATATATATATATATATATATATATATATATTTCACACATATGTGAATGATAGCTATATAGCTAGCATCTCTAAGTTCATTAAAAGAAAGATTTGTGCTAATATTGTTTGGAAAATATTTCATGCCTCTATCTTGTACACTGATGAATTATAAATACAACTATTAGTTAATGTATTACTACTAGCTTATTTTGAAACTTATTTTTAACTTTTTTCTTTAAAATAAATAATAAAAATAGTATTCGTTTGTTTTCTGACTTTCACTGTTGCTGTTGGAATTCTCAGTCATTATCAGCAATGTGCTTTTTCTCTTTGTTTAGTCTCTTGCCTTTACAATGTTCCAATTACTGTTTAACCTCTCCACTGGATTTTTTAATTTAAACCATTTTATTTTTAGCATTAGGTGTTCTTGATCTAATCAATCTACATTTCATTTTCTTGTTCTTTAGTTATCTTCGTGATTCTATATTTCTCTAGCCATTTTATACATAGCTCTTCTTTAGTCTGTGGTTTCTCACATTACTATCTCAAGATGTAAGGAGACTTATTTAGAGTGGTAAGTTTTCTGTCATTGACAAAATAGCCCTAAAAAGAGGCAGTGTTCATGGTTTGGACCCATGGCCATTTGGCTCTGTTCTTTGTGTACCCATCACAAAGTAGAACATAACAGTGGGGAGCTTATGTTGAAGCAAAGATGTACCTCATTGTGGCCAGGATCCAAAGAGAGAGGTAGTAGACAAGCCTTTCACATTTGGGTCTTTGAGAAGCATCTAAAAGCCAAACCATAACAAGTTGTTTGCCTTTCTGTGTTTTAAAGATACTTGTTTAAACATGCCGTCTTGGCTGTCTTGTGGTTTCAAAGTGGAAATGTTTTTCCTGGCAAAAATTTTCTTTTGTTTCTGCCATGGATCCTAGGACCAGAGGCCTTTTACCCTAAAACCAGTTAGCCTTACTTGATGATCCAGGCTTAACTTAGTGGTAAGCTTAACTCACCTGCCTGGCCACTACCCCACTGTTCATTTTGCTGATTGAAGCTGCTGTAGGCATTGACCCCCAGCACAATGCTGCCTCTGTTGTTTTGCGTACTGCCAAGCAGCACTCTGGCTCCCTTTGCAGTAGTGGAAAAGGGGATTCTCCTAGAAACATCTTACTTCTTGAATGCCAGGAATCCAACAAGAATGTTTTGGGTCTACTTTTACAATGTCACAGTCTCTCTGAGCATTTAGTTTACCATGATGCTTTGAGCAGAAATGAATTTAAAAAGTGTTTAACTAGTATGTGTGTATTTGCTTTTGAAATCTATTCAGTTCTATATTACCAATGCCAAAGGCATTTTATCCAAAGGATGCATTTCCTTATGTTGCTTCATGTCTCAAAATTAACAACTGAAATGACAAACAAGGGATTTATTTTATACATATTTTTGCAATATTATGTGTTTTGAAAATACATAGACCCAGATCTTATAATTCTGATTTCTTGTGTATGTTATTGGCTTCTTATGTGTTTAAAACAAGTGAGTCATCTAAGCATTTATCATATAAAACATTCAACAAATTGAGGGATAATAATGTGAGTCCTTTTAGGTCATTTTGGAATACAGTACTGCTGAGACCTTTTGTCATCTTTGCCTTTCTTTCCCTGGGAAAGTGTGTAGATATTTCTCAGATGAACAGTTTCTGTCTGTTGCCAGCCGTGTATCAACACTGCATTTAAGACAGGCTTTTTATTCTTACTGAGCAGAGTGGAAGCTGCTACAAATGCATGCTATGTAAGCGCTTAAAAATACAGCTAATTAAATTGGCTAAGAGCTTAGTGTTTGCCAGGTCTTTATTACTGACTGGAATAGAGACTCTACACTATTAAGACCTACTTACAATAAAATGTCAGAGGGTCACTTTGTTTGCTTGTGAATTACATATTTGAAAACGTATTTCCTTCTTCCAGTTACAAGATTTAGAATGAAAAGATTAAAAACTAGGAGATTTGAAAAAATAGTTAAAAGATTATTCATTTAAAATGTTTTGGTATTTTTGGCTAAATACAATAAAAGTATTTATTGGCCAAACTTAAACTTATTTGGTAGACATAATAAGAGATCTTAATTTATGTTTGACTTAATTTCTAGGGACAAAATAATGTTTTGTAACTATTTTTGCTGTGGAAATCCTGATGTAAGTTTTAATTTTTAGACCAATACTCTACAATAGCTTGCATATATTGAACATACCTTGAAGTATAAAAAGCAGATGTGTCCAGTTTAATTATTTATATTTATCATTAAAAGCTGCCTCACAGGATAACTAAGATGATTGTACTACTAATTTCTATAGTTCTTTTGAAGGGATTAATACTTAAAATTTTTATTTTGACCAAACTAACATGTTTATATATGGTATCTGTGCAACTACACTGAAGACAACAATATACAATACAGCATTGCTGAATACCTATCATCTTGTGAGCTTTTTA